TATTAGCGTGCGCCCATTGCTCCTTAAAATAAACGGTATGCTTTTGAAATTACGCCTACATTGTTAGTACTATTTAACCGGTTTGATTTTAAGTATTACTCGTCTTGGCGCCATTAAAACGATAGTCTTGCGCCTGCTAATAATCAATATTGCATCCGACCTGGAGTCACTTCTCTCAGAAGTTAACGTGCTCTGCATACTTCATGCAAGCCTGGTACCTCGCCTACAAAAACGAAAACTCCATTCAACTGAAAGGTTTAATTGAATATTCATTGAAATTCCCCACGATTAATTTTATATTTTCAGTTTAGATGGAAAACTCTTATAAATAACGGAGGCCCATTATTGACTTAATGGTTGTTTGTTCATTCGTTTGTATATTTAAAATAAAAGATATAAAAGTTTCTGTTGGCAAAACGGAACTAAATTACTAATTGAATCTAACTAAAGGTAAAGAAAGATCCTTTATGAGTCTTAATCAACGTCGAATGCCCGTACTCGGAGTCGTTCATTAAGAGTTACGTTTGCTGCAGCCATTTAATATAGATTGAAATAAGTTCAAGATGCAATTGGAAGCTAAGAAAGTTCATTCACCGCCCAGTGCTTCCTCAAATCAGTAAACTTGGTATATCATAAAGTATTAATAAAAAAATCCATGGCTATTTCTATATATGCTCATTTAAAACACAAAGTGGTTAATTTATAACATAATCTTTTGTGTAAAGCTAATAAATAGATTTAACTACTTTTAATCCAATTTTATGATAATCTCTACAATAATTCAGATATGATATGAATTAACAACAGTTCGAGGTTAATTAACATTATATAAAAATATTATTTTATAATTTTTCAAACAGATTTATAACAAGTTGATGCCCGTGAATTCGGCCGCTCGGTATTTCGACTGAGTATAAAAAATACAATTTATAATTTAATAAATTGAATTTCTCATGTGCAATACAATTTTTAACATTAGAAGCTAATCACATTTTTATTTTTAATGGATAAACATGACGTATGTCTGTGTTTAATTAGTTCAAAAAAGCAGGCCCTAAGACTAAAGAAGGGGTGACTTCTTGGGTCGACTTGGGCGATTAAGTAACGTTGTCAGTTTAACCACGGTTAAGCGAGTTTAAAGTGATATGAGAAATACTTTATCAAATATTAATGAAAAGGCTTGGTTGAAAGGAATTTTGTGCCTCAAACTTTTGAGACAAAATAAAATATGTAGGTGCTCTAGAAAAGCCTCGAACTTCAATCAGGAACTTTAAGACTGCAAAATATTGCATATATAATGAATCTTTGCTAATGTATTATGCTGACCTTTAAGTTGCAGGTTCAAGTTTTTGTGGTAATCAAAATTCTTTTCTCTGTCTATTTGTTTCCATCCTTCTTCATCTCCTCCTTCTAACAACCCATAGTTTTTTTACTTGGGGAAATACATTTCGCATACCCATCCGGGGCGCGACTGCTTAGAGCGGAAGGGTTATGTGGGACTTGCTATTGCGCATAACCACTTAAACCTCAAGGCTCCAAATGGGCTCTAGGCGGGATGCGGTAACAGCAGAGCCTTATCCGCTTATTAACGCATAGTTCTGTCAATGTCGATTATCTAATTTACTTACGAACTTGCTTCACCCGGTGCGCGATTTGAATACTGGTCTAAATTTCAATAACAACGTTTGAAATTTGTTTGATTAATGAATGTAACATCTGTCTTTATTTATTTACTAGCTGACCCAGCTAACTTCGTTCCGCCTATTAGTCTAATAATATCGTGTTAACTTTAGTTAAAATGACAGTTTTACACATTAGTCCTCTTCTCTCTAGCGACAATATTCCGATACTGCGTGTTAAAGCACTTTCTGATACACAATTTTTTTTTAAATAATACACATGTCGAAGATCAAGATCAAAGCCTGGTTATGCTTCTCCTCATTCACTTCAAGATCGGAATTTCTTGAACTGACACGAATTCGATGTATAATGATGCGCAGTTTTATCAACAGATGGCACCACATGGTGTTTGCAAGCGTTAAATTAATAAATTTATTTAATGTTATTCGATAACTTATCCGATATTTTATTACTTATTCTGCTATTCGGAGCGGAGAAGAATCCACCAAAAAAGAGATAACTAACATCGATCCAGCCGATCTTGCGTTAAAAGTGGTGTAACTAGACTAACACGACTTTGTTTTATATATTTAGATTAACACTTTGTTGCATCACATAAATAAAAGGGACTCACACCACAAACCTGGGAAGATGAAATAAAAGAGAGCGGGGAATATCGGAAAATATAAGCGAAGCTATGAGACAAGTGGAAGAATTTTGATTTGGAGGCCTTCACTACGTCGTGTGTAGTATTGAATCTAATATTAACATAAACATAATTATAGAATAATATTTTTATTATAATAAAAGAGAATTCCATAGTCGTAAATGTTATATAATAAAACAATTCCGAGATGGAACCACCCGCCAGTTTATTTGTGAGCGTGTTTCGTGCTCTAGGGATCTCGTATTCGGAAGCGTTTTCTAAAACTTAACGCATAGTCGACGTCTCGGTTTAAAGTGAAGGTTTGCTTTTAATATACCCAGATTTTAAAGGACTAAATATTTATTATTTAACATAGTAAATCTGTCCCGTTTTGCGTGTTGGAAACGTAGTCGTAGATCGACTGTCGGAATATTATAGTCTTAGGGACGGGGTACAATAAATTAGAAAGAAGAGTGTACTTCTGGCTTACTATCTATTTAAAGTCTTGTCACCTCCCGGTGTTCAACCCAAGCGTTCTCCAAGCACTCGGTTTCTTTGTACCTACGGGACATGTGCGACGAAGAAGACCAAGGTTGTTTGCGATACCAAGGACCAGAACCAGTCAGTTGCACAGATCGTGTACCGAATGCTGTCTCAAACACTATCGACATACTTATATGTTCGCAGAGTGGGTTCACAGTAGGGATGTTGTGTATCTTATGTATTTAATATTATATACATATTTTCTCGACGTTATCGTAGTACTGTAAATATTGTGAAAAAACAGATTATTATTAAAATTAAAACAAAATATATATATGTGTAATATTGACTCAAACTCAAATTATTATCAAGGGTAAGGGTTGTCGTGTGAAAACTGACTGTGAAAACTATATGAATTTCTTTTTTATTAGGTCTGTTATATATGATATATCTTGGTGAATAAAACGGTAAATATATATTTATTTACTCCTATAAAAGTTAGATAGAAGAAGAAGCCATAAGACAGTTTAATGGACAACATTTGATCCCCGCACTGACGATATGACCCAAATAGAAGCGTCTGGAAGCTTTTAACTTGTCTCGGTATAGAAATAGATACCGACTATCTTGGGGATACACGAAATAGAGGGCCCTATTAATACTTTTCTTATGTAACGAATTGCATACATTATACTGAGAAGGTTTTTTACATAGTTTATAGTTAAAATGGGTTTAGTAATAAAACCATATGAAAAGATAGAGGTTACATAAGTTATTAGGCACGGGCAGCCATATCGCTAAAAAGTTTTATATGCAAACAAACCCAGTCAAAGTCATGGAAATCTTATTCAAATTGATCGAGTCTTAGAAGTAAACAAAATAAAACAATAAATCAGTGGCGCTGCAACCTTTTTAGGTCTAGGCCTCAGATTTCTGTATCTGTTTCATTATCATTTGTCAATCTCGTGCGTGACACACGCCGTCAACTACGCTTTTGGGTCTAAGGCAAGCCGGTTTCCTCACGCTGTTTTCCTTCTCCGTTCGAGTGAATGTTAAATGCGCACATAGAAAGAAAGTCCATTTGTGCACAGCCGGTGATCGAACCCGTCGTACGTTGAGAGTTGCTGAAGCCAACACTGCTTCTTAAATACATTTATGAAATCTAATAATCCGTTATATTGCATAATAATGTTGCTCCTTATACGCTTATAGAAATCTCGGCTTTCAGAATACAAATTTATACTCATGGTTATTGCAAAACACAATCTGGTAACGTAGATTACGCATTGCATTAAATTTTAAAATAGATTCAATATTCATAACATTGTAGGGTCTGATTATTATTTGTATTCATGCGGTTATATACTTTTGTCTGTTTACCAAAACCAGATAATTAAATATGCATTTTTATATATATAACAAGGGGCAAACAGCTAGGAGGCTAAAATAAATATATTTAAATTACTTTAACTAAACTATTACAATTATGAGGTGCACGATCAATAACCTATATTTTATACTTATTACTAATTTAAGGCTATGACGGGTCCGATCTAAGCTATCGAGGTTTTCTTTTTAATGTAATCTCGCTGTTGGCCTTAAAGGCCTTTACAGCTCAGTTCGGGCAGTTTTGGCGAGCGTTACTCGGCCTGAAATCTGAATGGGTCCTTTTATAATGCTGTTGTGTCAGAGGGTTGCAGGTATTGCTTATGCGGGGCAAAGGGGGTGCAATGGATATGTAACAAGTGTAGTTTTGAGTTTGGTATTGTATTTATTTTTACTGTTTATGTTATTTAGTTTGGGTTGTCTGAAAGAAACGAAGGTTTTTTGAACCTATGACCTTTTAAAATAAGTAATAATAATCTATCTAAACTACACACACACACACTACTAAATAAATTCAAAGCCCTCGTTAAACGTAACTTAATCAATAAGGCTTTTTATAAATTTGACGAATACTTAAGTGATCCTAATCCTTGGGATTGATTTGCTCCAGTTCAAACAATTTGTAAGACTCAGTACTTGGCGATTAAAAAGAGTGGCGGAAAGTTTCTTGCCAGTTCTTCTTGCCCGCTTTACGCCCTTGACTTGCGAACTGGTAGCAAATGTAAATTTACAATTCATTTAACTTATTTTTTCACGTTCATAAGTGTATTTGATACCGATCTGAATAACGATATTTTGAGTTTGAGTTTATCCGTAAAAATAGTTTTATAATGTGTTCATTTGTTTTTCAGCTGTTTTGATGACAATGAAGTCGTGGGGCGAAGCGCTAGTGCGGAATGCGTCCGCTCATTTCATGCGCGTGGGCAGGCTCCGGCGGGCGATGTGTCTTCTCGCTGTGGTCGCTTGTACCGGGGTGGCGCTACTCTATTGGCGGCAACAGACTGCCGATCAGGCGAACAGACCAATACACAGTCTTTACTCGTAAGTTTCTCGTTTCTAAACTATGTTTATAAGGTTTAGAAAATTGTAACTTTAAATCTAAGTCGAACTATCGGTAAATATATTTATAACAAAAAATAAAATAAATCAGTGGCGCTACAACCTTTTTAGTTCTGGACCTCAGATTTCTGTATCTATTTCATGGCATTTGTCAATCTTATAGGCAAATAGGTGATCAGCCTGTGTCTGACACACGCCGTCGACTTTTGTGGTCTAAGGCAAGCCGGTTTCCTCACGATGTTTTTCTTCACTGTTTGAGCGAATATTTAACGCGCGCATTGAAAGTCCATTGGAATTGGATGAGAGTAGCACCCTGTAGCCACTAGGCCAAGACTATTATACTATATATATATATATTCTATTTATAATGAAGTATTTAAATAAAGAGCAGGAAGATAAAGTCATTTAGAGATGAATATTGCACATCAACGTAAACACATAGATAAGCATAATTTAATAGAACAATTCTATTCACTAAGTTCTTCACTTTTCAGGGGTATTGAGCCGCAATGGTCCTGGGTATGTAGAAACGAGCGCTGCGAGAGACTCCTTGCAGCAGAAACAACGTTGCTTTCAGTCTCTAGCGACGTGTAACATGCTGTGCGCGTCCACGCAACTGTGGCCGCAACCCACGGGTCCAGTCAGCTTGGCGACTGCCGCAGTACCCGTCAGAGCTGATTCGATCACCCTACAAATACGATCCTCACCCTCGCGTGAAGTCTCCAATTACCTAACCGGTGCCTTTTCACTATTCATCAAAGACTTGAAAGCGTTAGAGAGGAATGGGAATACAGAAAGTCGAAGAAACGACATTGGTAACACCAGAGACGTTGTAGTTCGTGTTGCTGTCAATGGCTCCGTCGATCCGCGACTACTTCTCAGTACTAACGAGAGTTATAAGCTGACCATGCGTCCTTCTGACAACGTCCTCTATGTTGACATCACCGCGTACTCTTTTTGTGGTGCTAGACACGGTTACGAAACCCTCTCACAGTTGATATGGATAGACCCATACGCAGGTTCACTTTTAGCTCTTGAAGCTGCGAGTATTGAGGATTCACCAAAATTCAAATTCCGTGGTCTCTTGCTGGATACGGCTCGCAATTTCTTCCCTGTCAACGAAATTATTCGGACAATTGACGCTATGGCTGCTAATAAATTGAACACGTTCCACTGGCATATCAGTGATTCACAATCGTTTCCTTTAAAACTTAACAGTGTTCCTCAATTAACACAACATGGCGCATATGGCCCTGGTGCTATTTATACATCTGACGATGTCCGAAATGTAGTGAAAAGAGCTAAGCTACGTGGTATTAGGGTGCTCATAGAAGTGGATACTCCAGCCCATGTGGGACGTGCCTGGTCATGGGGACCAGCGGCAGGGTTTGGACCTCTAGCGCATTGCGTAGAAGTTGAACCTTGGAGTGCGTACTGCGGTGAACCACCATGCGGCCAACTCAATCCCAAAAACCCTCACGTCTATAATATCCTAGAAAAAGTATACTCTGAAATCATTCAGTTGACTGGTGTTGATGACATATTCCACCTCGGTGGTGATGAAGTCTCTGAACGATGCTGGACGCAGCACTTCAACGATACGGATCCAATGGATCTGTGGCTTGAGTTTACAAACCGAGCTATGACGTCGTTGCAACGAGCTAATGGGGGTAAATTACCAGAAGTTACTTTATTGTGGTCGTCACGGCTGACTCGGTCCCCATACCTAGAAAGATTGGATAAGAAACGGTTTGCTATTCAAATTTGGGGAGCCTCGCGGTGGCCAGAATCCCGAGCGGTTTTAGATTCTGGCTTTAGATCGATACTCTCGCACGTCGATGCGTGGTATTTAGATTGTGGGTTTGGTTCCTGGAGAGATAGCTCCGATGGCCATTGCGGGCCATATAGGTCGTGGCAGCAAATTTACGAGCACAGACCCTGGATAGAAGAAATGATAGGCATGGCCACTGGGGCAGAACCCTGGCGAATCGATGGCGGAGAAGTGTGTCTTTGGACAGAACAGTCCGGTCCGGGTGGAGTCGACGCTCGTCTGTGGCCAAGGTCAGCTGCAGTCGCTGAAAGACTATGGTCTGATAGACCAGAAGGTGCAACTGCTGATGTTTATCTTAGACTAGATACTCAACGCTCAAGGCTGCTAGCCAAAGGAGTGGAGGCCATGCCTCTATGGCCGAGGTGGTGCACGCACAATCCTAACGCTTGCCTGTAACGCACTTGAAATCTCTTTATAAAGGTTTGAACAGGTTACCTAAATTTTGTCTTTGAACAAATAATATGCTAATATGGTTATAGCATAGAACGGTTAAATTATCTTTAACTTGGCGTCTAGAGAAAAACGAAGTCGATGATACGATAATAAATAATGTGTGCGATGTCGAGATATCCGAGACCAAGTATTTCAGGTAGAAAGGCTAATTAACTTAAAACGATGTACATAATCTATGTTTTGTACAGAATTGTAATTAAGCGTAAGAATAAGAAATAATTAGACTAAGCACTAACTTAGATAGTTCAATACGTTCAAATGTATCCGTACTGCCAAGTAAGTCACAAGATTTGCTTAAATAATAATTATCAATATTAGTTGTGAATATATAAATCAATTTTTATTACGTTACATTTGTCCGTATGTTTAAGGCTGATTAGTATCACGATAATAATCGGCGCTGAGTACAGTATGTAGACTGTCCTAAAAGCTTTATTAAGGTCAATGATAAACTGCGTGATACTAAAATGAGTCTAAGATTATTTATAAAATCAATTTATTACTCATGTTGTCAAAACGAATGATACTCATTGTTTTAGAGTAGGGTTGAGACTTATTTCTTAATATATTCGTAATTTTGATGAAGATTGTTTATAAAAGTAGATTTTAGATGTGTTAGGTTTTTAATATTCTATAAATTCGTAAATACAAAACTGCATTCCTTTCCACTGCTCCAATGTACTCTTTTCAAATTTAAAATCAGACATCATTTTATTGTTCCCCTTTTAAAAGTAACGAAATATAGCAGACCTTATAATAAACCTTGACACAAAGCATTATTAATAAATCAAATAATAATTAATCAATTTTGCTTTACGTAATAAAGTTCCCTGTTCTAATTTTGTAGTATATTTATTATGTATTAATTTATAACAAAAAGATGTTGTATACAAAATATATTTATTTTTTATTATATTGTTTTTACAGAGTCCTTTTATGGTATTTTATGAGATTAATTTTAGAGACTAAACGAAACCACAAAAAATCACGGAAAAGTTAATTAAAATGGCAAGTTTACTGAACCGTATCGCATACATGCATTTAAGCGTGTGTGGTTAACGCAGGTACTCTGTAAGTTTGCAGTTTTCTTGCAATATCCTGCGCTGTTGTCGTAAATGTTGAAAGTCAGGATTCGCTATTTGTAAAAACAGAGTACCGGTGCTGGCTTAATACAAAAACACTTCAAATTCATCTACTCCGTGGTTTTGTTTATAATTTTGTTAAGTACAAAATTACATTAATTTTAAAATTTCCGAATAAAAGTCTGTTATTTTGTCCCTTTCTAACAAGTTGTTTACGCTGTGATGAAAAGAGATAGTTCTTTGAGTGATTTTTTTGAATGTCATAGATTTTAGCTTTTTTGTGTGTTTATTACGTAACAAGCACAACTTTGTACGTTTTGTAAGTAATGTTTTGGTGCTAAAAGCAATTTTGTGGTGTACTTCTATTGAATAAAAACAGTTTAATCGACAAAATGTTTTATTAAATCCAAATACAATAAATTAATATATTAAAACAGTGAAATTATTTTTTTCTAAAAATGTTGCTCAGGCGTCTGGACCGCGGTGTGGACTGCAAAAAAATGTACAATTCATTAACGAAATATTTCGTTGCTGACTGTTTGCATTCAGAAAAACTAAAGGTCAAACTAGACTTCGCAACACATTCATTAATGTTTCAAATGACTAACGGAACTGGCACAGAACTGTGTCCCATGTTCATTGAGAGATTATTAAAAACTTTGTAATATTTTGTATCAGATTTATAGCTTATATATATTTTTTAGAGAGCCTCATTAAAAACCTATAAAACCAAAGTCTCTAAAGCTACCAACAACAAAACATAAAATTTTAAACTGACCAATTAGAATTTTAAAATTGAAAAAAACAAGTGATTAAAAAAATGGATAAAGCTTTTAGGATAAATTATGAGTTCGACATGTTAACAATAAATCAAGTATAGAACTTTTGGCATTCAAAAATATAAAAAAACTATTTGAGACTGTTTATTACTAGTTTTCCCTGCAGTGGTACTAGTCAATGGACGATCCAAAACATATATCGACAAACCACACATTCGCTATGTTTATTCTATAGAAAATAAATAGTTTTAATAAACAACGGTTGAATGTCAGTATCACTTACTTCGGTGTTATCGTTCTTGTTGGGACGGAATAACGAGCGAAGACGCGACGGAGTACTAGTCTTGCGGGAGGCGTTGGGCTCGGCTTCCACACGGAGAGACTCTCGCAGTTCAGAGTCCTGGAAAAATATTAAATTTTCAATACTCAATTACCATTGAAAGCGGCCTGTCTGCCCCATTAAAAGAACTTGTTTGACTTCCAATCTGAATAGATGAGATTAGAATAAGATAGAACTAGATTTTTTAAATTAGAACGTTGGATTGAACTTGATTGCGATTGTTGTCCACAGAGTCAACCAATCACAATCAAGCGATCCACCATTTTATTTTTCAAACAAAAAAAGTAGTTTTAAAAACAAAATACAGGTTGCGCTTTTCAGTTGACGAGGATAATAGACGTTGTTAAACTAATATAAATGTTAATTGCTCATCATTTTATTTATTCACAAAAAATTATATAATTTCAGTTATTTCATATTACGAACAAAATTCTACGACAGCTTTCATTCCGAAGATTAGTAATTGGTGAAATGGATCGACTGGACGAGTGATGCTGTTACCCAATCATAGGAAATATACTCACAGTGGCTGATAGTCTTCCGGCCTGTTTGCTGGGCGTTGGTGGTCCAGGCTTCTTATACGCCGTAATACCCACTTCTTTGCGCACCCCTCTACCACCCAGGGACATTGAGCCCATCTGAAATAATTAATATGTTCTAATGTCCCAAATTGCACCTATCATGGTTGTGCCAATAATAATTGAATTCAAAGAAATAATAATCTCCACACTTAAAATGATACCTCCAACTTTTATGATCTGTTTCATTTTATATCAGTTTGATGATCAATTTTGACCGAATGAACCTGAATTTTGGTTTCCTGGTGATGTTTTCCTTCAGTTTGAGAGACGCTTAACTGCTTTGGGGAGCGTTCACGTTAAAATGATCGTAACGAATTTTGTCCTTTTGTAAATTGTTACGATGCTGGACGGGGATTGAATTATTCGTTATTGTTAATATTATTTTCGACTTTCAAGTACTTTACACCACGTAACTTTTAGGTATCAAGAGTCACTAGGTAGTCACGAAACGTTTTACTATACTCGGGTACAGAAAAACGTTACGGCGCGTTATATGGGGGGAGTCAATAATCTCCAAAATTGCGTGACGTAATACTTGAACGCTCCCTTAAAGGTTATACAAAGACTAAATATTATTAACAAGAGCTAAAAGTGATATACATACTTTAATATCCTCCTCTTGTAAAGCGTGCACGAACTGAGTTTCAGCCGGATAAGAACTCTTGAGATGCGGCGGACAAAGTGAGTTCCTCCACTTCAATTCGGACAATCGTTGCCCATTATTTGGGGCTTTCTCCTTCAAGGGCGTAGATTGCAACTCATTCAACCATCTGTTGTCAAAAACCTCACCTTCTTCGTCTAACGTGTGGACGCCACGGGTTTCTGAATGTTAAAACATATAAAAACGCTGATAAGGACAAAATATGATTATAAATTTTAGTTTTTTTTAAAATATACTAACGTAATTAAATCACAGGCCGCAAAATGATAGCTAATATATGTAAATATTAATTAAATGCGACTAAAGGAGAAAACATTTAATGGAAGCCTAAAGATTTTATTATTGCTAAAACCTTTCTTAAAGGGTTCTTAATAAACGCGTAAATGCAAACACAACTAAGTTAGCAAGTTGCCATCGAAGATCTCGAAATAAAACTAAATGTTTATTACGAAAGCATTTCCTCAGGCAACCTTGAAATAGCATTAAGTTCTTTGAAGCTTTTAGACGGGTATTTGATCAATATTAGCACAGCACGCCATCTGCCCATGTCATCGTACTTTCTACCGAGTGAAGATCTCTTGGCAAGCAAGTTTATTCAAAGTTTTGAAAAATAAAAATAAAGACCTCCAGCATAAAAAACAAATAAGTACGTCGAGTACACAAAAACCCTTTAAGTTCCAGGGTTCGATTCACGACGAAATCATTTTTGTATTGCTTTATTTTCAAAAAAAAAATCTAGATTAAAAAGAAAATTGAGTTAAGCATATGATATTTTTGTTCTATTTCAACATCAACAATTCCCAAATGTACCTTTAGTGTTGTTGGTGACGGGCAGAGAGCGCAATGAATGACAATCTGAAGGTCTGGATGGCTCCTCTTGGTGAGCTACGAGACCAGACTGAAAAAAAGTAACAGAGATCAATATATTTTTAAGAATATGTCAAAATTCTGGAATCAACCCCCATTTGTATTGCGGATGCCATTATCAACTTTTAAATCCATTTATAACAAATTTTATAAGCAAAATAAAGTCTGCAAAAGGAAAAATAAATTCTCAGTATCATTTTAGATGTATGTAAGGTTGTCTTACCGAATGCACGTGTTGAAGGGACATAAGAGAGCCAGACCGCTGAGTCTTCCTCAGCCACTCCGCCTCATCCTTTTTCATCAAGAACTTCTCTCCGACATTCCACAGCTCGGTGGTCAACGACCTTATATGTTCCTGGTAAGTCCTACTCGACTCCTCGAGCTTATTACGAGTCTCTTCCAACTCTTTCTCCAATGCCGATATCTCTTCTTTTTGTCTCTCTTTGAATATGGAAATTTGCTCTTGATACAGTTGTTTCTGAAATATTATCGATACATGTAGTAGCAATAGCTAAGGGACATCAAACATGCTGTCAATTTGGTATACGCCATGTTACATATAATACATAAATACATAGCATGCCCATGCAATATAAAAACAATTACCTTGATGGGTGCAGAAGCAAACTAAACTACTTGTTTTAATGAACGCAAATAAAACAAGATAACAATTAAAACATTTATTATATAAATAACAAGTCACATGATAAGCCACTCAGTAATCCATCTGTAGATAGAACCACCACACAACCTGGTATAATAATATCAACAACAGTAGAGGGACGATACTGACCATTTTAGCCTTCATCCGGTTGAGTTTGTCTTCGTATTCCGCTCGAACCTCCATTAATGTCACAGATTGCGCATCCTTCGCCCCATCTCCGCTCTTAGCCGAGGATACTTCCTCTAAAAGCTTCTGGAACGAATTCTCTAGCTCTCCAAGTTGAACCTCTAAACTCGCGTTTTGGTAACCCGACGAAGATAGCGATAGTCTATCTATTTCACTGGTAAAAGCCTGCTTAATCTTCTCGGAAGATATCGTTCGACCGATACATCGCTCCACCCATCTCTCCATGTTCATCGCACACTCCGACAAATCCTGCATCACAGCCGCATAACCTCTTTCTAATTTACACATGGTGGGGTCAGTTATATGACCGTCCAAGTTAAGAATTTCCCGTCTAACCGTCCGTTGCAAAGACACAACTCGACTCAGTTTCTGACTGTAAAGCTCCTTCATCGAGTTAAATGTCTTCACACTAACGGATAGCTCCGTCAAAAACTTTCTCATATTGATAACTTCGGATTCGTTAATCCTATTCACTTCCGATAATCTATCTCTCTCTTTTTTGAAGAGCGATCTGCTTCTCTGAACATCTCTTGAGATGTCTATCTGTAGTTTCCAAAAAGTTCTCGAGATCTTCCATGGTTATTGTTCCCGCATTAAGGTTTCGCCTAATTTCATTGTCGCTTGTTGTGGAATTGCCAAAGTTGGATAGTTCCTTTAAGATGCTGTTGCTTTTAATTTCGGCGACTCTTTTGAGGATCATAGCTTGATACCTAGCCGAGAGTTTAATTATCTGCGTGGCTCTATTTTCTGTTACGCTCATTTTGGACACTTGCTTCTTGAGTTCGGCGATTTCTTCGTTCTTTTGGTAGACTATTTTCTTGATCTGACAAGAGAGTTGCTGGCAGTTTTCTTTACTGAGATCCAAATCTTTGGAGACATCGAGAAGTTTGTTTTCCGATTCAGCGAGAAGAGACTTGAGGTATGTAATATCGCTTTGTAGAGAGGTGATAGTGCGATTTTTGTCTTGGAGAATTATCTCCAGGTCTGAAATAGTTTTGAAACTGTCCGTTGAGGTGTGTGAGTCTGTGGAGTTATTATCTACCTGATTGTGAAGTTGACGGAGTTCCTTTTCCACTTGATGTCTGTTAGGTGATTTTTCTCGGCTGGTTACTGCAACTGAAAAGATAAGTATTTTTAGTTACATTCATTGATATACAAAAAACCCAAGATGCACACTCAACGTCAAAAAAACGTCCTCAAAAAATGAGCGCAACATTCTAAATTGTGCGCTCATTTCAAATAGTCTCGCGTCTACAAGTGGAGTCGATGTTATTTATTTGTGTTTTTTTTATAAATAAATTTATGTACTCTTGAACTTCTTTGTGTGTAGTTTTTGACAAATATATTTACGCTATATAAAGTGTGGGTCAGGAGGTAGCCAATTTAACATTTTTTTTTAATTTAAAGAAAAAACTTTTTAACCGGATTAAAGTTATGTATTATTATAAATTGACAACTATTTAACATCCAACACCTTTTGTCTTCAGTCACCGTGACCACTCACGCTGTAAAGCACCCGAAAAGTCGGATAAATTTAAAATTATGTTAAATAGTTGTAAATAAAAAAGTGTTGTTCGACTCCACTCAATACCTTGTCCTACCGACCACGGTCGGTCGTAAAATTTTATTGCTTTAAGTACGTATACGCTGCGTTGTAATAACAACTTTAAGCAATTCGCGTAAGGTTGATATTGCAATAATATATGCTTGTAACATATACTGTTATGGACAGAAATATTGTTTCGGGACACTTTCGAGCGTTACTTTTATATGAGACTGTGCATCTTGGGTTTTTTGTATATCAATGGTTACATTATATATTTTCCAACCATACAATCTTTTCGTACAAGTTTAAAATTGCTATACTAAAACATAGAAAGTAAGTTTTTTACTTAAGGCAAGTAAATAATATTCTTAATACTCACATGTTTCTCTTTGACCAACAAGTTGAATCAACTCTTCATTCTCCTTTCTTAGAACATTCACAACCTCCAAATCTATCTTTGCATCATCTAAACGCTGTCTCAAATCTCCAACATCTGAGTTCAATGCCTTTATTTCACTCAAATAATGTTCTTTAGCACTTTTCTCTTCTGTCAATTTCCTATTCATCTCTTTTATTTCTAAATTCTTATTGTTGATGGACAGAATAGCGTTTTCTCTTTCACCTCTTAACATTTCAATGCTCTTTTGCAATACATCTATCTCTTTTTGTTTCTTTTCTAGTTCTACTTTCGCTTTATCGTGATATTCTTGTAGGAGATTACATTTATTAATAAGGTTTTGCTTTTCTTTATCAAATGTTTGAGAGAAACGTTTATTTTCATCCAATGTGGAGTTGAGACGTGATTTCATGTCATTTATTTCTGTAAAATATTCAATTTTTTAATTTAAATTCTTTCTCTCACCACATCAAATATAAAAAACAGGAGCTACAGCTAAAGACTAAAGACAACAGCCTAAACTGGATGCTAGGAAGAAACTCGAGACTTTCTCTTGATAACAAACTCGTTATATATAAAGTCATCCTAAAGCCCATTTGGGCATATGTCCTCCAACTGTGGGGCAGTGCAAGTGATACCAACATAAATATATTCCAGCGACAACAGAACAAGATCCTAAGAGCAATTGCAAAAGTACCAAGGTGCATAACCAACAACGATGTTCACGAACACCTTAAAATAAGAACTATCAAAGAGGAAATCCGGAGACTGGCAGCTAAATACAAAGAGCGGTTAATCTGTCACCCGAACGAACTTGCTCGCCAGCTCACCATAGAACAGTATGTTAGACGACTAAAACGTCACCATATTCTAGAGCTAGAAGACCAGTAGTAGCTCTAGGCAGCAGATGAGTAGATGCTTCCAATGGGAAGCCACTCTACAGAACAGATTCGCTCATACTCTTAGGCCCTTTCTCCACTGCTCCGGTCCGACGTCGGATACCGGAATGAGTCATGAGAAAAATATCGGAAGGCCGGATTGCGCTTCTCCACTATATCCGATCCGACAATAATCGATACTTGTGTATTTATCATGCAACACTTATATTAACTAAAACCCATATACTTAATTTTATTAATAAAACGTTCTAAATTCTGAATATTTTACTGCCCTGGCTAGTTTATTACTTTTTTTTATATTGTCTATCTTGAAATATTATAATCTACTTAATAAATAGTTCACTAATACTATGGAATAAAAATATAAATAAATAGCAACATAATTTGGTTTGGTCCAGGTTATCCAGATTCTTTCAAATTAAAGAAACTATAAATAAACCTGTGAATAATAAAGTATAACCTCTTGGATACTTGGACCGATAAAACACCGCGTTCCGATCTAGCAAGTTATCGGATCGTTAAAAACCGGATGCCGGAGTAGTGGAGAAGCACGTAAGTACTGTTGTGAGTTTCTAAATCGGATCGGTAATTAACGTTTGCCGGACCGGAGCAGTGGAGAAACGGCCTTAGGGCTGATTGCAATCTCAGAAGAAAAAATCTTCTCTAAAGTGACCAAGTCTATTAATTACACTCGCTCTAAAGGTTTGTTGTGTATTTATAAATATATTTTCGCAATCAATATAAAATTAAATATTATCAATTATGAAGCTTACCCATTTCTTTGTTCTTTAATTCTTGTTCTAATTCCATTCTCATCTTGACCAACTCAATATTTTTTTCCTCAATTACAATAATTGCTTCGAGTTTAACATTTAATTCGTTAATCTGTTTTATCAATTCCCCTTTTTCCCGTTGCAAAACGGATCTATCTCTTTCTAAATTCGTAACTTTGTTAAGAATTTCGTTGTGACTTTGTATTTGTTCTTGCAATAAGCTGTTATTAATTTTGAGTTCACCCAAGTCTTTATTAAGTGAATCACGCTCTTTTTGCACTACATCCAATTTGATTTTTAGTTCATTATTTTCTTCATCTTTGCAAACAATATCTGCAACAAAACACATGGTTTCTTATAAGTTTTCTGTGGAAACTTCAATATTAATGGAACAATCATAGTACATAAATCCATACCTTTTCTACATTTCTCAAATTCCTCATATAAACTACCCTTTTCATCCGTAAGTTGAGTCACTTGATTCTGAAAACCACTTATCTCAGATTCCAGTTTAGTCTCTAAATTTTCCTTTTCCTTTCTCAATGCATCCAAATCTCTAAATAGTGCTTCAAATGCGTGGTCTTTTTCATTAAGTTTGCCGAGAGAATTATTTTTTTCAACATTAATTAATTCTTTTAACGTTGCTATTTCTCCTTCTAACGCGTCTATTGTTCTGACGTGAACATTAATAACTTTATTGAGACTCGTCTTTTGATCCTCCATAACTGATTCTGTTACTGTAATCATGTTTTTGAGTACTTGCCTCTCTGATTCAAATTCGCTTATTAACTTCTCTTGAATTTGTTTATGGGTCTTGATTTCTTCTTCAAATGACTTTATGGCTAAAATAATATGCTACGATTTAATATTTTTCTAGTAATCCTATATGAATACTAAGCTTTATATTGTAAAAGAGCACACATATATCAAAGATTTATAAACAAATATATTTTATTTAAATCGCATGCAAATTTAGTACGAAAAAATTACCTTGATTATTTTTATCGATGATCTCTTGTAATTTATCTCTTTCATTTCTCACACCATCCAGTTCTACTGTCTTATCTTTTAAATAACTAGTCAATTTTGTTACCATCATGTTTAAGTTGTCTATTTGACATTCATATGTTTCTCTTAATTTATCTGTCAAATTTTCGTTATCAATTAGTTTGTCTTTCAACGAGTGTACTTTTTCATCTAATTGTATTCTAACTCCAGTCAATTCATTGTGAAGTGATTCATTGTCTTTTTGTAGTCTCTTAATTTCTGCTGTTTTTGATTCTAAAGTTTCACTTTGTTGACCAATTTCTGGAATAAAAAAAGTGTTGTCTTACGGCAAATGTTACAATCTGAGAGAGAGTATACTTAGCGGCGATCTTTTCTTATAATCGACGTATTATGAACTGGCTTTGGGTCATAAATCATATGTATCTGTCAGTCTCGCTAGCACTTACAGGTCTTATGTGAGAGGTGTAGTGATGTGCGTAAAAAAATGTAGAGGTGCATATCGATAACGGGTAGGTACGATCAATGTGCTTTATGTTAAGTGTTAATGGGAATAATTTTTCATTTTTTTTGAAATTGAGGCAAGCTTTTTTATCGGGGTCAGTTTTCAATTCTTTTAAAAACAGGAATAACAGCCCGAACTTAAGCTTTGATGTCACTATTTAATTTCTTCAAAGCCCCGTTATAAAAAATATTCTCCATTGTGCGAATTGCGTAACGAAGGGAAAGTAATGTAATGAGTGTCATTACAACTTTTTTTTTTATAGAAAAACATCAACCGACCCAAATTATAGACAACGGGTTGCATTGCGTGCATATTC